GGGGGGGGGGGTCCCAGGGTGTTCTGGGCCCATCCCTCTGGGACCCTCATCCAGGTATTCATCCCTCCCAGATGATACCAAGAACCTTCTACATACCAGGCTCTGCTCTAAGTGTGGGGACGTGCAGGCAGAGCTCTCTGTATGAGAGCACTGCCGATGCCTGTAGGGTTAGCTTCCTGCAGTCCTCACCAGCATCACAGACTCCACAGCTGACCAGCAGGTCCCGCCTCTGATCACGCTGCCTCTCTACAATGCCCATCCTTTCCAATGGCCTCGTTAATGCCTCTCCTGCCCACAAGGATCCTGGGACACACTTCATTGTCCACTGCAGGGTTCAAGCCACAGCAAGGTGATTTAGGGGAACTTTTACCTACTGCTGATGGCTGGTCCATCCAGAGTACAGCTGTATCTCTTAAAAAGGGGCCCACAGGGAGGCAGGTGAGGATTCCAGGTGCCTGCTTTCGGACTGCTCCAAGGCCAGTCTTGGATGCCTACCAAGAGGGGTCAGAATCAAGGGCAAACATACATGCAGGCTTTGCTAGGTGCTCTTGTCCTCACTTATGTGCAGTAAATCCACATGGACCGCTGGCTACGGAGGCAGGCCCCAGGCTGTGGCCACTCACCTATGGCCATCAGATTGACTCAGTAAATGGAGGCTGATTCACTTAGTTACAGAAAAGGGGGAAATTCCAACCCCCCCCCCCAGCACAGTAGCTCAGTCTGTCTCCCTGTAAAGTGGGGCACTGGAAGGGTCTGTAGAAAGGTGCACCGTGAAGGAGCCCCCAGAAGGCTCCTTAGCATACACTCACCCCTCAGAGAGGATCCCCACAGACCTCACATTCCCTTACATGTCCTTGATGGGACCCTTCTCTGACATGACCTTCCAAAGGTCCCCTCCTCTGGCTGGACTATGAGCTCCAGCAGGTCCAGGGACAGCACCTATCTAACTCAGCTCCCCACACCACGTTCAACAAACACAAGCAACCAGAGCAGGGCCTGTATCCTAGCACTTGGAAGGCTGAGGTAGGAGGATCGCTGGGAGTTCGAGGCCAGCCTGGGATACAAAGTGAGCTCAAGGCCAAC